CTTCTTCCTTACTGTGCTGAACCCCACCAGCCAATGCTCCCCCGTTCCAGCTCTCCTATGGCTCATAGTCTCTGCTCCTCTCTCTGCCAGAAAGAAGCATTTCTCGGGGGATTTACCCGCTGTCTGGAGTCTTCACTGTCTGGGACATGGAATTACCTTTGCTGTGTTTTAGGAGCCCGTTTGATGAGTGTCGGGCTCTGTGTGCTCACAGGAGAGATGGGGACGGTTAAATCCCCCCAAAGCAGAGCGTCCAGCACCTTTGAGCAACTTGGGAGCTGGCCCTGGTGTCTTACTGCCTTATCGTGGGCTGGGGTTAAAATAACAGCACATTGTTTTCGGAGAAGTGTCCCATGAATTCACCTGATGTCCCTTGTTTTCTTTCCCCTGAGCAGGGCTTCCACTTCCCAAACCTGATGTGATCTCCCAGCTGGAGAACGGGGAAGAGCCGTGGGTCCCAGATCTCCAGGACTCAGAAGAACAAAGGATCCGGAGACGCACCTGCCCAGGTGAGGAATCATTAAATGAACTCAAACGCTGTCAGTGCCTGAAGGAAGGAGCTGGGATTCCCCACAGAGACCTTGGGAGCTGTCTCAGTTCTGGATTGTCCCCGGCATGTGTGATATCCTCTGGGCAGATATCGCTCAGGGCTTCCTGCCCGACACCGGCCGTAACTCCCTCCCTGACCTGTCATCCTGAGTGTTTGGATGGGGCGCAGAACTGATCCCTTTTCTCTCCCCTCTGGGGGAAAGTTTGGGGAATTCAGTTCCTGATTTTTTTCCCCATCTCCCCAGTGCTTCCTTTGATTTCCACTCCTCTTTTCCCTTCCTGTTCCTGAGGTTTCTCTCTCTGTCCCAGCAGGTGGTGGGACGGGGAGTGAGAACGGGGAGTGGAAGCTTCAGCAGACGGATGCTGAGCAAGCGGGACCAGACAGGGTGTTATTGCGAAGAGCCAAAGGGAATGTGTCCAGACGTCTTGAGCAAGGACAATCTTGTGAGAGTCGGCACAGGCCAGCGAGGCAGCGGACAAAGCAGCCAGGGGAGAAAGCGGGTAAATCCATCAATTGTCAGATAACTGAGAAAGAGCTCAAGGGAACCACAAGCCAGCAGAGAATCCGCACAGGAGAGAGAAAAAACCCCTGCACCGAGTGTGGGAAAAACTTCCGTAGACACTCGCACCTTATTAATCATGAGAAAATCCACAGGCCAAAGAGATCCTATGAATGCAGCGAGTGCGGGAAAAGGTTTACGTATCACTCAGAACTTGTCAGCCATCGGAGGATCCACACAGGAGAGAAGCCCTATAAATGCAGTGAGTGCGGGAAGGCCTGTCGCTTGCGGGAAAATCTTACTAGACATCAGCGGATCCACACCGGGGAGAGGCCCTATGAATGCGGCGAGTGCAGGAAAACCTTCATTTCCCACCCACGCCTTACTCAACATCAGAAAATCCACACCGGGGAGAGGCCTTATCAGTGCAGTGAGTGTGAGAAAAGTTTCAGTCAGATCTCAAACCTTATTAGACACCAGAAGATCCACACCGGAGAGCGACCCTACGCCTGCGGGGCGTGCGGGAAAAGTTTCTCTCGGCAATCGCACCTGGTTATTCATCAGAGAATCCATGGGGGAGAGAAGCCCCACGAATGCCGTGAGTGCGGGAAAACCTTTGCAAGGCACCCACACCTTATTCGACACCAGAGAATCCACACGGGGGAAAAACCCTACAAATGCAGCGAGTGCGGGAAAAGCTTCACTCAGAACTCCACCCTTCTTGCACATCAGAAAATCCACACTGGGGAGAGGCCTTACAGATGCAGTGAGTGCGGGAAAAGCTTCAATCACAGCTCCACCCTTCTGGCACATCAGAAAATCCACACCGGGGAGAGGCCTTACAGATGCCGTGAGTGCGGGAAAAGCTTCAATCACAGCTCAAACCTTAACACCCATCAGAAAGTCCACAAGGGAAATGAGAAACCATTAAAAACCTTCTCCAGAGCTCACCAATGATTTTTTTTTCTTTAATACTTTTCCTAATTCCGACATCAAGACCGTTAAGGCTGTTTGCTCCGTTTGCTTCACCAGGGGTCCTCTGCTCCCCATGTGGCTGCCCATTTTTGTCTTTCGCAATTAGCCCTTCTTTGGGGTGAATCTCGTGGTCCTTTCTGTAAACTCCATAGACCTATGAGTCATGGGAATGTGTCCCTCCTACCAGGAATGTCCGTCTCCAGCTAGTTGACTTCACCCCATCAACGTCCAGTCTTCCCGGGCCTTAAAATCTATCTTTCTATAGCGAATAAACTTTTATTTTAATGTTTTATCTTTACCAGTGAATTTGTCTAAAGCGTGGGGGGAATCTGCTCAGATTACAACGGCTGGTGTACGTCCACTACCCTCGGATGGAGCGGTGAACTGATTACTGAGTTTACACCAATCAAGACAGTTTTCAGCACTGTTAGACAGTACATTTCTAGGAGCAAGGCAGGGGCTGGGGGGATTTGCTGAGGTCGCCCTGTATATCGTTCATGAGTGGTTGTGATAGTGGATACGGCAGTCCCACGGTCCACCCCCGGGGGGAGTCACAGCCAGATTATATCCGTTTGTTCTTGTTCCCACACTGGGCCGTAACCAGTGGCGTAGCCAGCTTCTAAGAGGAGGGGGAGCAAACATAAAAAAGGCGCCCCCCCCTTGGCTCCTCCTCTGGCCACGCCCCCCTTGGCTCCTCCTCCGGCCGCACCACCCCTCCCCCCCATGGCTGCTCCGGGCCTGCCGTGCCACCCCCGTGGCCCCCCCCCTTGCTCCTCCGGCCCCGGCTGCCGGCCACCATGGCTGCGCCCCCCCGCTCCTCCGGCTGCGCCCCCCCGCTCCTCCGGCCGCGCCTGCCACCCCCCCATGGCTGCCGGCCGCACTGCGGGCCACCAGCCTGCGCCCCCCCTCGCTCCTCTGGCCGCTTTTGGAAAGGCGGGGGAAGGGGCTGCTTCCCCTGCACCCCGCTAGCTACGCTACTGGCCGTAACTTAAATAACTCCCTCCCTGGTGTTTATGCCTCTGGTGTATTTACAGAGAGCAATATATCTCCCCTCAGAATTTGTTTTCTTAGGCTAAACAAGCTGAGCTCCTTCAGTTTCCTCTCATAAGGCAGGTTCTCCATTTCCTCTGATCATCCTAGTAGCCCTTCTCTGGGTTTCAGAATTGTGTTTTGATTTCTTTGACCCTAAATCAGACTCCTTAGAGCCGGACATGAAAATGGCACCGAGCTGGAAGGGGAATTTGAAGGGATCCCAAACACAGCGTGATCATTCAGAGTTTAAATCCCAGGTTCCATCTTTTGGCAAACGTATTTCTGAGCTTTTTTCCCTGCAGCCTTGGGATGGTTTGCAGGTAGACACGTGGGCTGTTAGGATGATTCTAAACTTTTAGAAAATAACACAAGTAATAATCGTGAGGCTTCACTGCGTGAAGCAGATTTGAACAGATTAGAGGGGAACGCAATGGGAGAATCTCTTGGCCTGATTCTGAGTCGTCAGATATAATCTGAGGAGAGATTAATAAGACTGGGACTTTTCAGCTTGGAAAAGAGATGCCTAAGGGAGGATCTGATAGAGGGATAGATAATAAGACGGAAAATATCATATTGCCTCTATATAAATCCACGATATGCCCACATCTTGAATGCTGAATGAAGATGTGGTCGTCCCATCTCAAAAATATATATATTGGAAATGGCAAAGGTTGAGAAAAGGGCAACAAAACTGATTAGGGGTATGGAACAGCTGCCCTCTGAGGAGAGATTAACAAGACTGGGACTTTTTAGCTTGGAAAAATATGACTAAGGGAGGGGATAGGATAGAGGTTTATGAAATCATGACTGGTGTAGAGAAAGTAGATAAGGAAGTGTTATTTACTCCTCATAACCCAAGAACTAAGCGTCACCATATGAAATTAATAGGCAGCAGGTTTAAAACAAATAAAAGGAAGTATTTTTTTCACACAACACACAGTCAACCTGTAGAACTCCTTGCCAGAGGATGTTGCAAAGCCCAAGACTATAACAGGGTTCAAAAAAGACCTAGATAAGTTCATGAAGGATAGGTCCATCAGTGGCTATTAGCCAGAATGGGCAGGGATGGTGTCTCTAGCCTCTGTTTGCCAGAAGCTGGGAATGGGCGACGGGATGGATCACTTGATGATTCCCTGTTAGGTTCACTCCCTCTGGGGCACCTGGCATTGGCCACTGTCAGCAGACAGGATACTGGGCTAGATGGACCTTTGCTCTGACCCAGTGTGGCCGCTCTTATGAAGCGCGCACAGTCTGAAAATTCAAACAATTTTTAAGCCCCTGAGCACTCTGGCACTGATCCAGAAAAGTGATTAAAATGACGCTTGACTTTAAAGAACAAGTCATCCCACTGGATGTGCTTAAAGATAGGCTACGAGCTGGACAAACTGGGCCAGGGACTAGCTCCTCTGATGGAGGGCGAGGGGGAAATAAAGTAAAAAATAAACCCAATAAAGAGTTACTGAAAAAGCCAGTCCGTGAGAAGCTGGCCCGAAGAGAAAAGTGTTGTACTAATGCCTGGAGACAACCACTGAAAAACTCCGGTTAAGTTTCAGGAAATGTCCAAAGACGAGGGCCTTCTCACAGGAGTGCCCAAAGAAATGGGGGGGTCTGCCGCCCCCGACCCAGGGCCCCACTCCATTTCCCTCAAGGCCCTGGCCCGGCTCTACCTCTTACCCCCCAACCAACTCAGCCTCTTCCCTCTGGCCATGCCCCTGCTCCTGCCTCTTCCCTCCAGGCCCTGCCCCCCGCTCACCCTTAAAGCAGGAAAAAAGTGTGTGTGTGGGGGGGACATCGCCACCCTATAGTGGGGCAGCTGCCCCACTCCTGCAGAACAGGGGTAAAAGCAGCCCTGGAGAGGGCTGCAGCAGAGAAAGGGATGGAGAACAGCTCGGGGAAGCTGACTGGCTAGCTAACCACAGCTGTGGCTAGCTCAATCAGGGCCCAGCAGGCCCCTATAAGAGGGCTGTGGGCCAGAAGGAGACACAGCCTCTCTCTAGCATCATGAGAGAGAAGCCCCCGGCTGCCGAGAAGGGTACCTGAAGTGGAGCAGGGCTGGGGAAGGGCAGAGGGAGCTGGGGAGCTCCCGCCAGGAAAAACCCCAGGCTGCAGGCCTTGCTAAAAGGGCCAAATAGGTACTGGGGCCGCAGAGGGGCAGCCCAGAGATGGGCAAAGGCAGCAGGTCCTAACCCCCTTGCCGATGATGAGTGGTTCACAGACTGCAGTCGGCGCCAGGGAGCGGGGGCTAGACGATGACTGGCAGTAGCCACTGAGGCAAGGTGGGTTTAGAGGGTTGGGGGGTCCCCTGGGAGGGGAGACCCAGAGCAAGGGGTTACTGCTGGGGGCAGAGCCCCTGGGCAAAGGGCAGCGGGGTCCGGGAGGGACACGGGGCCAGCGGCAGGCGGGACACCGGCCTGCAGAGGGCGCGCCGGGCTGGAAAGAGCTAATTCCCGAGACGGCCAGCAGGAGGCACCTCGCCCCTCCACACACCCTTATATATGTCCTGCAGCAGCACTGCCTGGGGACCCGGCCAGCAGCCACCAAGCTCATTGTAGGACTCATGAATGAAATTGTTTTTAGTTATCCTGTACCATTGT